TGTTTTGGAGGAGTTCGTCATGCTGGCTCTCCTGATGAACTTGGCTATTTTCATACTCTGAGGAGCTCAGGACCTTGTTGTCACTGAGAATGGCTTTGGTTCACTTTGAGGGAGCTCTGGTCCTCACTCTGAGTGATGCTTCCTGGCTCTGGAGGGAACTATGGTGCACTGCCGGTCTCCTGGAGAAGCTTGTCGTGTTGGCTTTCCTGATGGGAACTCAGCTGTCTTCACCACTGGAGGAGCTTGGAACCTCACTGTTGCTGAGGATGGCTGTGGTACTTCTCGGGGGAGCTCTGGTTCTTACTGTGAGCGTTGCTTCCTGGCTCCAGTGCAGATCCCTCAGCCTGCTAGCACAGATCCTTCGTCCCGCTGGCACGGACTTTCTAGCTTTCACCACTGACCTTTGGGCCTTCCCAGCGCAGATCCATGGAACAGCCCTGCATGAGATATTGTTATGGGCTCTTGGCCTCCAGCTGGACTCATGGGAAGCTTTGTTATGGGCTCTAGGTCTTCAGCGGGACTCACGCAGGACATTATTGTGGGCTCCAGGCCCTCGGCTGGATTCCTTGGTCTTGGTGTGTGGACAGATTTCCTGCACTCTCTTGTGTATCATTCTTTGGGTGACTGTTATAAAATAATCTTATAAACTATGTGTCCTGTATATATTGTTCCCCTTGCAAAAAACCCCAGACGAACACAATATTGTTTATAAGGAAAGGGGACCAAGGTGGGGAGGAAGGAAGGGAAAAGGAAAAAAATGAGGAAAGAAGGATAAAATGGAAACAAAGCTTTGTAAACAAGGGAGGAAGAGGGCTGGAGGGAGGGGAGGGGAGTGGGAGGAAAAAAAGGAACTACAGTGTATTGTGTGTAGACACAAGTTCCCTATAATGGATGTGACTGCTGTGTTTACCTAGGCTGTGCCGACAAGCTTAATAGATAGAAAAAATAGCTAATAGGGAAAAGCAAGCTAGGTCTTCTGCGAAAGGGAGAGGGACTGAGCGAGGCAGGGAGGGGTGAGGGAGGGACAGGAAGGGGAAGACAGTAAGAATTACCATGAATTATGCACGCGGACCAACTCCCCATGAGAATGTGGTCATTATGTTCTGTGCTAATAACATGTACTAATAAAAAGCCCGAAAAAGTTAAAAAAAAGAGACATAACACAACAAAAAAAGCATGTCTTGGAATTTCAGTCATCATTTCCCTGATTACCACAGAGATTTTTCTAGGTGTAGTAGCAAACCAGGTCTTGTAAGTCATTCCCAGCTGTGAGAATGTGTCTGAATGGTGGGCTCAGCTTGTAGGAAGCTGAGAACTTCTTGGGTCTCTTCTCCTTAATCCGTACACAGGGACAACCACATCCACCTCACAAGCTGTTGCCCTGTGGCGGGAAGGACCTCTGCTATCATCAAAATGACATTTACTCAGCTTTGGGACAGAGCCCGTCTTCTCATCATGCTGCCTTGGTGAGACCACGTCTGTCTGCCAGGGGCCCAGGACAGGCTGTCTTGGCTTGGGCCACCACCCGCCGGTGTGGAAGGGAAGCCACTGTCACACACGGGTTAACCTGTGACACCAACCCTTCCTGCCATTGTGAAGGCAAAGTCAGGCGCTGTCGCCTCCGTCACCATCCTCAGGTTGGGCTGCGGGACGGCAGCAAACGTAGGTCACTTTGTGTAGCCAGCTGCCAGGCAGACAGGGGACCAGGGAGGAGGGTGCAGTGTCTTCTCACTTCTTGGATTTCGCCATTCTCTTTCCTCTGCTTTCCCAGAGTAAACCAAGGGCTCTGGGGGAATCGCAAAGAACTGAATATAGAGCCGGACCGGGACATGTGGGTTGGCACTTCTTGAACTTTAATGTACACAGAAATCATCTAGGGATCTTGTTAAATGTCCAGAGTCCATGTGTTGGCTCCCTCGGTGGGGGGGCAAGGGAGACTTTTTGTGGGCGAGGTCCCATGGTTAAAGAATGCCCATGTACATGACATCAGCAACAAAGCAGGCAGCAGGAGCAGAGCATAAGAGCGTGAGAGTGCAAGAGCCGCCTGCATCTTTACCGTATAATTCTTACACAGGTTGTTGTCTCACGTTTACATTCTTACAGAGTGCCGTAACCAGCGCATGCGTGTTTACCTGTGCTACGTCACGGCTGCATAACTGTATCCCACTGTGCACCTGTCCCAGACAAGTGAGTCACGTCCTCAGGTGTCCTGAGACACCCCTGAGCTTTGAGTCTGGGTGGTTCCCCATACTGTGCATCAGTCAGTGTCTTACTAGAGAAACAAGGTATACAAACATATAAGAAATTACAAGACTGGCTTAGGATGGTCAGCCACAGAGCTGCATGAGCAACAGCGCAGAGGGCGTCTGCACACGGGAGACCGAAGCGTTCAGTCCAAGGTCTGAAGCTCACTGCAGTGTCCTGTGTGAGTCCCTATCAGGATGCCGATGGGTCTGTGACAGAACGCTGAAGGGTCTATGCCGGAAGCCAGGAGATGACATCCAAGGTGAAGGTGAAGACTGGAGCTCTTCCAAAGAACAGAAGCAGATTTGTCCTTCCTTCATTTTCCCTTTATACCGTTGAGGCGACAAGCTGCCCTAGATGGAGTCCTCTACACCATAAGGTGTAGAGTTGCTGAGCTGATTTAGTTAAGCTTCTAAGCTTCTCATGTTGATACAATCAATTAACCATTATAGTCTGTATTTCTCCAAATCTCCCAGGAGACGACAGTGCCACAAGAAAACAAGCACATCCATATCCATCCATTCCTTTACTGAACAAATACGAAGAGCCCGTCCTGTTGCAGGTGCTGTTCCTGACCTGGGGTACAGCGGTGAGCGGGGCAGGACAGTCATTCCACCCTCAGAGTGAGAGTCTGTGGACAACGGTCCAGCGTCTCTAGAGTTCAGCTGGATAACAACCCACACGCTGTGTCTTCTCCACTTCTTACAAGTTGAGTTCTGGATTCATACACATCCTCACACAAATAAAGACTTGCAGAACTGGGTTTGCCAACATTTACTTGGGAATTAGGGAAATGACACTGAAAATCCCAAGATATGCTTTAATATCAACTGAACCAGCAAGATATCAGATAATCCAAGTATTAGTAAACTGGGGAAATAGCAGTGTATAAACTGAGTAAGTGCTTCTGACAGGGCTACATCATAGGTACCTCTAGCTTTTGTATCTTACTTCTGGCTTTCTCTCCAGGAGGGTACATGTTTGTACGTGCGCCACTCCTTGAGTGATACATCGCGGGGTTTAAACTTAGATAAAAATCACTCTCAGTAACCACAACTGGGTTGCGCATTACTTAATTTTAGAATTCAAGGTAGCTGTGACCCTGAACTTCAGTCAATCAGCTGGTTGGAGAGTTAGTTTTACTGCCTGGAGCAGGACGCTGCAACTTGAAGGAGCAATTCGAAGAAATGCTCAGCAGAGATAAGGATCACTGTAGGTCTCCACTTGGGCAGACACCTACCTCAGCAACGTAGAAACAAGTCAACTAGCTCTTCGCTGCTGAGTTACTTGACTAGTGTTTACTCTCCCTACAGAAGATGGTTTGAACCAACTGTTCAATTGGCCAGTGACAAAGTCATGCATTTATTAAATTTCATGTCTTTTTTCTCTCTCTGGGCCCAGAAGACTATAAGTTTCCAGTCTCCTTTGCTGAAATGTTGAGGCCATAGAGTAGTTTCAGGCCAGACTTGGGAAACTGTGAGCCCGCCTCGGACGAGGTCCCTAGAAGTACTCTATGACCTGACCCTTCCCCTAACCCATGGAGTCTGGGAGGACATGGGTCGAACTGAAACTATTGCCAGATGAAAGGGTACAAGGAGGATCACCAGATGTGTCTCACATTTAGCATGGATGAAAGTCTTTGTGGCATTGAGTTACTGATATTTTGGGGTTTATTGGTCACTAGGATGTAAACTATGTGTCTAACATGTGTTCTGTTAACCCACACTTCACGTGGCCTTCCACCTGATTGCCACATACGTATTCTTCCTTACGAATGAGATTAATTTTACTAATCTCTTTATAGTAATGTTCTAATCTTAACTCTAACTGCAAGCATGTAGTAAGCATGTAGTTTATAAATTAAAGGAATGTACAATATAGGATGAAATGCATAACTATTTGCTGAATGAAAGACAACAAAGTGAGCAGTTTTTACACTCAGCTCCTGGAAAGGATTTTTAGAACTATTCCTTTTTAGAACAAATTACCAGAATTAAGCATGTTCATTTAAAAAGTTCTGGAAAACTTTTGAAGAAACAAAATTTTTTTCCCATCGTGACGCTGCACTAATAAAACTGTTACTTACATTTTTGTGAGTTTTTCTGCTACTCATTTTTATTATGTTGTTACAGTCACGCTCTAAGTGTTCTGGCCCTCTGTTTTTCTTGTTTTTTCCTAATCTTCTTATACAGAATTACCAATGGTTGCATCATAATCTCTTTAGGGGATAAATCATTTATCCCCTTTTTCTCTCTTGAACGTTTAGGTTATTTCCAAGTTTTTGTTTTCATGCACGACGCTGTGATAGATTTGTTTGTTTAATAAGAGCTTCTGAGTCTAGAATAATTTTCTTAAAGTATATCTGAAAAAAAGGCTTTCTAATGCAGTAATCCCCAAATCTCAGGCTGTAGCTGACTCAATTCGGGTAAGACTTTGTATTCATTTCATGGCATACTTTCCAATCAGTGTTCAAGCCTGAGTTAGGTCTTCAAGGTTAGCTTCTTCATTTGTGTGATTCTCTAAGACACATACTTTTTCCACATTACATATATATTTTTGGAGATACTAAAACGAAATATATAAACAATTTTTTTGAATCACTCCCCAAAGCACAGTGTCTTATATAATGCTGTAACTGCCCAAACATATCTCCACCTCTCTCTCTCCCTCTCTCTCCCTCTGACACATACACACCTTTGAGAATTATGAGCCATGTGTAGACATCTTTCTTAAAAACAGACATACAAGGGAAATTCTCGCTTTAATCCTGAGGTTTAATGAGACAGCTCCACAAAATTCAGCTGCAGTAAGATACATAGGAAAATCTTTCTGTGAGCCAACTGGTGTCCACTGCCACGTCACTGAACTGGTGGCAAAATAGCAACAGTTGTGCTGCCTCCTGTCTGATATTTCCTGGTTGAGGATGAGACGTCAGTAGAGTTGACTTGTGGCTGCTGTGTAGTGCAATGTTCCTGCTTTGACATGGAGTCTCTGATGCTGAATACACACTCTCAATGAAGTTAGGTAATTTCTTTCTCTCTTTTTTTGTTTACTTAGTCTTGTATCTGGCATTTGTAAGGCGGATCATTCCAACAACGGCTACTAACAATATGGCGGTGAGGGTTGGCTGTGATCATGGATGATAAGATGCTTCCTAAACTGCAGTTCTCTGCATGAAATATGATATTTATTGTTTTCCCTTCAAAAGTAAGGCTGCTCTTGGTTACAAAAATCCATGCTGTGATGCGGAGGATGCTTTTCCTCCTTCCAGCACCCAAGCTGCCAGGCTCAGCAGTGAAAGACGCTGGCCCGGAGCTTCCTCTGCAGGGTGTCCTGGACCTCTCTGTTCCGGAAGCTGTAGATGAATGGGTTGAGCATGGGGATGATGATGGTGTAGAACACGGACAGCACCTGACCGCTGACCTCACTGGTGGAGCTGTGGGGCTGGACGTAGGTGAACACCACGGTGCCATAGAAGACGGCAATGGCCAGGAAGTGGGAGGCACACGTGGAGAGGGCCTTCTCCCGCCCCGCCGTGGAGCGCATCCTCCCGATGGCCACCAGGACCCAGCTGTAGGAGGTGAGGATGACCGCGGCGGGCAGGAGGGTAACCAGGGCGGAGAAGACGTAGAGGACCACCTCCGCTGTGTCTGCGTGGGCGCAGGCCAGGCGCAGGAGGGGTGGGATGTCACAAAAGTAGTGTGCTACCAGGTTGGGCCCGCAAAAGGGCAGCGCGAAGACATTCCCGGTCTGGATGGCGGAGTTGGTGCCCCCAAATGCATACGAAGCAGCCACCAGCTGGAGACAGGTCCGTTTGGTCATGACAGAGCCATAACGGAGGGGTCGGCAGATGGCCATGAAGCGGTCGAAGGCCATGGAGGCCAGCAGGAAGCTCTCGGCTGTCACATGCACCACAAAGAGGGTCAGCTGCACCACGCAGCCCTCGAAAGAGATGGACTTGTCCGAGGCCAGGAGGTTGACCAGGAGCTTGGGTGTGACCACAGAAGAGTAGCAAATATCAAGGAAGGAGAGGACACTGAGGAAGAAGTACATGGGGCTGTGCAGACGGGCCTCCGCGAAGATGAGGGCCATCATTCCCAGGTTGCCGGCCACCGTCACCGCGTAGACCAGCAGGAAGGCTCCGAAGAGGAGCTCCTGGAGGTCTGGGTAGTCAGAGAATCCCAGCAGGACGAATTTGGTCACAGGGGTGTGGTTGCCACTGGCCAGGGCCAGCTCTCCAGGTGTCATCTGCAGAGGGGACAGTTGCTCATCACCCAGACTCTACTTCCTCACTATGCTGTCACTGAGCCGGGTAAGACGAGGCCGGCAGCCCTCAGGTCCCTTCACTGAAAGCTACAGGTAAAGGTCACCCGTAGTGGAAGGAACTTGGGCAGTGGTGCCGGGTAGACCTGAGCCTTGATTACCACTGGGACACCAACCAGTTGTGTCCACTGGCTTAGCTCTATGATCTTAGTGTCCTCATCTGTGAAATGAAGAGAATGTACCTACTTCTCAGGGGTGCTGTGTGGCCCAGGTGTAAAATATTTGTCTGGAACACAGTAGGTGATCAATAAATGTGAAGCATTTCCTCCAGTCTCTTGTGCCTCTGTATGTTTGCCTGTTTGTTTTCTTGAGACAGGGTCTCACTTTGTAGTGCAAGCTGGCCTTGACTTTGCTATGTAGCCTTGCCTGATCTCAAACTTTCAGTGACCCTCCTGCCTCAGCCTCCCTGGCGCTGGGATTACAGGTGTGCGCCACCATACCTGGCTTACAGCACTATTTTATACTTATTTCATTCTGCCATTTTCTTATTAAGAATTAAGATATACTCGAGATACCGTAAAACTCACCTTTTAGTGAAGTGTACAGTTCAGCCTGTATATTCACAGTTTCATTCCAGAACATTTTCGACACTTAAGAAAGAAAGCCCTGTGCTCATCAGCAGTCAGTTCCCCTTCTCCACCACTCCTGGCTTCTGACCCGTTCATTTATTTTCCTGTCTGCAGATTTGCCAATTCTGAAATTTTCACATAAATGAACTCGTGTGCTGCATGGCCTTCCGTGCATGGCTTCTTTCATCCCTGTGTCAGAGGGTCAGCTGCTGTGTAGCACCAGTAGGGTTCCCCGCGTCGTGTATTTAAGTGGACTCCAGCCCCCGCCCCCAGATCACAGCCGCCTTGTCGGCTGCAGATGTACTGGGCCGGCTGACCGCCACCGGGAGACGATGCGCTTAGTGGCGGCGTTGCAGGGCTTGCTTGCTTGTTGCCCAGGATGTTAATTCATAAGAGGACTAGAGGAGGCCGGGGATCTGTCCTTCCTCCCACACTTGCCTTTCTTTGCTGTTCCCCTGTGCCTCCCCCTTGTGAGGTCTGCGCTCTATCTCTAAATCGAGTGCTAGAAGAACCTCACCGACTGCCCACTCGCGTTAAGCAGGTTCTTGTATTACTGCGCAGAACCATGCGGAGAGCGGCCTGGCCTTTTTTGCACCTGGTGTCAGGGGTGCAGGGCAAGGCAGAGAGCGCGCTGGACTGATGGGACGAAGCCACCTGTGAGCTCCAGCTCCATGACCCCAGACAATCTCCTCTGTCTGGGCCTCCGGCTCCTCATCAGCTAAGGCACAGCTCCGTAAGGATATTCAGGGTCACACTCGGCCCCAGCTCCCTGGCGGGAGCGCCTCTATCTCTCCCAGGTTCCTGCCTAGTGTGGGTCTTGCGTTGCCGTGGTCTTGTGTTTCCTAGGTAAAGGGATCTGTGCGAATGTGTGGAAGAAAAGATGCTTTATTCCTGATTATAATGGACAGTTTTAGGGGGCTCTGTCCAGCCCAGAAAAGTCAAAGTACCGTGGCGACTCCCAGGAAGTGCTCTCTGGCCATTGTTCTGTACATGAACCCTCATTAAGATAAGCGGGGAGCTGGGATGTAAGGAGTTTTGTTATGGTGATGCCGTTCAATCCATTGACCTTACTTACGCCAAGAGTCACCTAAGCAGACGTCATCAAAGATCTTTTTAATACTTTATCATCTGTGAATTTGAGAAGATTCTCCCTCTTTTGTTGACAGATTTCCATCAGACTTTAAAGAATTTTGCAGGCAGTGATTACAGTCATTTACCTTTTCAACACCAGCTTCCCAGATTATACTTGGGGTGGCATTTTGGGAGACTACGCCAGTGCGGCGCCCTCTGGGGAGATTCAGGAGCGGTTAGACGCTCGCATTTCTTCTCAAAAGTGAGGAAAGAGCAACTGATGAGGGAGAGCTGAGGAAGGGGGCAGTGTTTCCATCGCAGATGTGATGTCAGGGACGTGGGTTTGCGGAATGAGTAGACAGAGATGCCGCAGTTCTGGAAAGTGGCTCCCTTAAACTGCCTTTGCCTCTGAACTCTTTGAAGAACTGCCATTTGCCCTCAGGGATACACAGTTCCAGGATGAGGAGTTAGTCAGCCACTGTAGCTGCAGGACCGTCTTCTGGCCGTGCTGCTTCCCCTTCCCCTCTAGCTGGGTTTGGAGTCCTGTGAGTGTGGAATTCCCCACACCCTTCACAGCCCGACTCTCTTCATTGCAAAGATCTGAATCTGGGGCCCCGTAAGCCAGGCTCGGCTGGCTGAGTCCTAGTGCCTGAGGCTTTTACCCCTCCTGCCAGCACCCAAGTGTTGCTTCTGTTTACCCCTCCTTGTCTCATTTTCTGGGGTTTAGCTCTGTCCACATGCACATCTCTACAAGTCTCTGATGTGCAAGGAGCACTGCTGCTCTCATCTTGCTCTGACGGATGACAGCCCATCCACCCAGAGACCCGCACATCACACACATCACAAAGGCACACAAAGCGCTGGTTCCAGGTTGAGCTCCTGGATCCTACTCTGCAGAAAAGAGGGTTTTCTGGGGAGGTCCTTTTCCCCAAGCCCCTGCTCCCACTGTCCTCATAGCCCAGAACTGTGCTACCTCCTGCTACTCCACTGTTCCCAGCCCAATTCCAGACGGACATTTGGGTCCCTTGGAGGCAGACGTACAAATAATACTCAGTTGTGGTGATCTTGGCCTTACCGATATACAAGGGCCTTGATAGTAAATGGTAGTAAGTATTTAAATACAAACATTATATTACAGTGACAGATTGCCACGAATCCCCTTCCACATACCCACCCTCCAACACGTTCATCCTGTCCCACTTTCTGCTGCAGGTCTGGAAGTCCTTTTTTGTGAGTGTCTTTCTGAGGTGTGATAAAAAGCACAGTGAGTGCTGCTGCTGCATGCCATCCAACAGAACACAGACTCATAAAAACATGACAGTGTGTCCTCACCCACCTTCGTCACCAGATGTGGCTCCAGGGGAATTATGGCTCTCCCTCAAAGTCAAAATGACCAAGAAAGGTGAACATTTAGAATTGATTTAGGACACTGAGGCAGTGAGGACAGTGCAGCTAGACACTCAAGAAAGAGGCTTCCAGAACCGCTTCAGAAAGTGACAAGGACAAGGGGATGAGTGTGTCGGATGAGTGTGTCTGAAGCGAGGGGAGGATTTCAAGGGTGATGAATGGCCGTATGTCTTTTGTAGTAGTAGATCTTTAAAAATATAAACATTCCCTGCATTTTGGGATCACACCTGTACCCTGGTTGTGAAGTACCTCCAGCTTTGTGCCGTATACCCTGCAAAACCTTTCTAGTCAGACCTCCCTACCCAACCGCATTCTGGGTTGGTGAGCAGCTAACTTGGCAGTTCACGGCTGTTCATGCAGATGCACCTAGAACTGTCTCAGAGCCTTTGCCAATGTTTTTAAGACTTTCCTTCCCTTCCCTTGTTTTTTCTTACTTCTGTGTCACACTATGTAGTACTTTTGATGGCAGAGACTATTTTAAATTGTACAACAAGCAAGCAAGTATTTGGACAACTACTCTTATTTGAATGTATTTGAACAATTGCAGTTGTTCAAAACTAGCGGAGCGGTTGGTTATTAAAATTATTTCAACAACCACTGTCCAACATGGCATAAGACATGGTGGTGGGCACTTAACATCTTAAAATTGTTTTTGAGAGACAAACTTGTGCCCATGAAACAAGAGCGGAGCTGGGTGGGCTCATCCAGCGGCAGGAACCCACTGACGAGGAGGACTAGAGCCTGGGCCGGATGGGGACAGGGTGAGGACCAGGAGGCAGGCGGCTGGGCCACCAGGAATGAGGGAGGTGGGGCGGGGAGCAGAGGAGGAAGCCCAATAGCCCGGAAGTGGGGATGGATCTTCTTAGTAAACATTTACTGGGAAAAAAGTCAGAATTTGGTGGGGCTGCTTGACTCTCTGAGCCTTAGTTCCCTCATTTCTTTATTTTTGAGTGGGACTTGGCTAATTCCCGGCTCTTTTCACTTTTGAGACAGTGTCCCCCTAGGTCACCAAGTCACCCAGGCTGGGCTGGAACTTGGGATCCTCCTGCCTCAGCCCTGCTGAGTGCTGGGGGCCCGGGCAAGCACAGCATGCCTGGCAGCTCCCTCAGTGTTTGTGAGGAGGAAGAGGATGGGAGTGGGTGTACTTAGCGCACTTCCAGAGGTGGAGCGGCACTTGCTCACCCTGAGTTCCCATCCCACCATTAGGCAGGCAATGACACGTCACGGACGCGGAGCTGGTGACACTGCGTGGGGTCCCTGGATGCCGCGGGGTCTCAGCAAGGGCTTATGTGGCGGAGGAGGGAGGAGGTGGTTGCGGGTTTGGGGGAGGAAAAGGAGAAGCAAACAGGCGCCTCAGCTTCCTGAGTAGCTCTGGTGCCCCCAGAGTTTCTGACAGACCAATACCAACCTTGGCGGTGGCGGTGCCCAGCCTGCTTCAGCTCTGGGGCCTCAGGGTCCTCCCGCCGAGCCCTGGGGCTGCTCCTGGGTCTCGCGTCCCCCTAGCCTGTGTCGGTGAGGTTCTCCTCCTTCGGGCCGTTTCCGGGTCGACCGCACATCCAGACCTGGTGATGGGACGCAGGGCTCCGGCGAGGTGAAAGGGCACCTAGGCCTGGGGCGAGGCTGGGCAAAGCCGGCTCCATCCCCTTTCATCCCTGGAGCCTTTGGAACCTGAGGGCTCGGGGAGGTCCCTTAAATGCACCCCCGCCCTGTCTTCTCCAGGTGCCCTGGAAGGTTCAGGCCTCTTGGGGGGATGAGACCGTGCCCGATGGTGGGAAGTTGTTTGGTTGGGACGGAGGCAGGAGGTATCCCAGGAGGGATGCTTGTGGCGGCAAAGGCTCAGCGGGCACAGGCGGGAGCCTCCCTCCTCCACCCTGTATTCGGAAGTCCTGACCAAAAGTGTCATCTTAGCCCTTGGGGGCTTGCAGGAGCCTGGAGGAGCGGGGAGTTTAACCCGTTTTCAGCTA